GTGTGTGTGTGTGTGTGTGTGTGTGTGTGTGTGTGTGTGTGTGTGTGTGTGTGGGCACCTGCCTGCTTGCCCGTCACTCCTTGTAGTACTGGGTCTCTTCAGTAAATAATTGTGCTACCTTACCTTAGCTAATGTTGCCTTTCCAGGTGATAAAGCTAAATGTTCAGCAAAGTGCCTCAGATTGATTCCAGGACAAGTCCAGCTGTTTTCTTGAGTAACAAGTCCAGCGGTTTTCTTGAGTCCATATTTGTGCAGTAAAGTGCCTTCATATCTGTGTCCTGGCGCTGTCAGCTGAGGGAATTTCCCTAATAAACATTTTTTAGCTTGTCATTTGTTTACCGAGGTCCTTCAGAGAATCACAGGGGGGACATGCAGTGTCCTGAGTCTGCTGGAGCGCCAGGGAACAGATGGGACTGCCGACTGCTGACACTAATCTCGGAGCTAATCGGGGTAACGAACCTGCGGCCATTGACAGCTCCTGTCCGGCCTCTGCCTTCAGCAGCTGGGAGGTCAGCTACTGTTCCCCCATCATCCTTCCACCGCAAGTCAAAGGTGAGTCACGGGTGAACGGCTGGCATGTGACGGGGCCAGCCAATGGGGTGCTGAACTCCTGCAGTCGGGTCAGTGTCACATGGGGTTACAGAGATGGGGAAAGAAAGCCTGCTGTAGACGGAGTGTTTAAAGCCCCCCACCTTTCCCCTCTGTCAGAGGGAGGGCAGCCCCAGGCAGGCTAAGCAGGGGAGGGCCCAGCAAGCTGGCCGGAGCCCAGATACCTAGTGTGCCATTTCTGCTGCACAGTTCCTACATGATCATCTTGGGAGCAGAACTCGAGCGCCCCTCCCCTCTGAGAGATACCTGCCACCCCAGACCAACGGCGCAGAAGCCAGTTTGCTATTGAGGGGGCACAACTGAATAATATAAAGGCAAAGGTCTATTTATAGATTTTGTTGGGCTTTACCCTAGGGGGGTAAAAAAAAATTAAGCCAAATTAAATGTTGGGGGGGTACACGCCACCCCCCCTCCCCTTGCCCCAGACTGGGTGAACATCCTTCTGGCATTAACCAGTCTGCGTGCACTGAGCGGCAAAACCCACAAGGTATGCTACTTAAACTTACGGTCCACACCCTGATTTCAAATAGTGTGACTTATGTGGCAGAGATAATCTTTTCTGAGACGTGATTAGATCACATTCACATTCGTGAATATCTGCAGAGAAATGCTTACAATAAAGTCAGTGGGATAAAAGGAGGCCTAAAAGAATCCATCTGATAGCTGTTTTTTTTTTTGTTTGAATTTGCGTTCCCGCATATGGCTGCCTGGATCCTAATCCACACAGTTTCTATTATCTTCTTAGAAATAAAAAAAAAAAATAAAGGTTTTTAAACCTGCCAAGGCCTGTTGAATTTAATCACAATTATTACAGGCGCTTGCTATGGTAACTTTTTTAGTAACCGTGGCGATAGCACTTCCCTCCTACATGTGCAGAAATTACAACGCATTTGTTGTTTACGCAAACGGAAAAAGAGTCATTAACGCAATCGAGTCCCGGAATGTTTCAGGACAGAGAAACTCTGCGATGCGCGGTAACGCGGTTACACACACTCAACAGGACCTGCTGCATCTGATTGGCCAATTTCCGGGTTTGTGTGCTGACTGCGGACATGCGCCGCTATAGTCACTCGCCCTTGTTCAGCTGCAATTCACACATACCTTCTGCATGGTCTCCATATGACAGCAGTGGTCCAGCACTGCTGATATCCATAACCCTGCGGGTGGCTGACCCTCAAATGTGTGTAATAAAATAGATACTATTGTTATTAATGTTATTATTAGCGTGTATCGCTGTAGCTTCACCAATGCTGGACTTGGATTCAGAATCAGCCTTGGACTTCTGCCCAGACAGGCGCACACACGCATATATACCTGCGATGAACTGCCAAATGGTGAGGGGGGTGTCCCCCATGATAAATTTTACCGGCCCAAAAACCCATCAGCCCACTGGGAAAGTGCCCGGTTTGCCAGATGCCCAGTCCAGCCTAAGCCTAGCACCTCCTAGGTTGTAAGTTTGATTCCCACCCCTAGCTGTGCGTACGTGTGGGTTTTTCCGAGTCCAACGATATGGCTAGATGACTTGGCGTCTCTATAATACCAGTGGTGTGTGAGTGTGTGTCCTGTGATGGACTGGTATCCTGTCCAAGGGTGTCCCCCCCCCCTCACTCCCTGTGCTTCAGGTCACCCAACACCTTATCCTGGATAAGCGCTTGTGAATCATGGATGGCTGGATTCATACTGCTGGATGTAATGTTGAAGAAATTCAGGTTCAGGACCCTAACCCAGGGTACAGTGGCGCCCCCACTAGCCTGTCAGCGATGGGTCCATTTGCTCAGTCGCTAAGCCAGTCCGGACAGCCCACGGTTGGTGCAGAGTAAGACCCCCCCCCCCAGCGAAAGTCTGATGCTCAGCAGGAACAGATGCTGGACACAAATGGAGATGTTTATGGGAGCTGCCCCCTGTTATTTCTCCCTGCCATCTGGAGCTGACGAATGTGTTTACAAGGCGAATTTGTCCGAAAGCCGGCTAATGTGTTCGGCATTAGTGGCTCTTGTGAAAACAAAATCGTTTTCAGCGCGAGTCAGGAGACGTCTGTCTTTCCCTCACTTAGCGCCGAGCTCCATTCTCAGGACGCAGCCGTGTGTGTGCGGTCATTTCACTCATGGCCATTACGTCACACAACAAGTAACACGTATATCAAAATAAATAAATAAATAAATAATAATAATCTTCACACGTCGTTTACTGGATCTTATTTCCGTAAATTCCCATATCAATACTAAAAACAGAAAACTAACATATTCTTCTTAAAATCACACATAATTGTAGCATAAAAAATAAGCTATTAACCTTAATCGTGTTTAATATTCACACACTTGTGTCACCCATTCATCCATCATCTGCGATCACTTCACCAGTAGAGGGCCACAGCGAGGCTAAAGCCAATCACCTACATGGCACTGCCAGCCAATCACCTGCATGGCACTGCCAGCCAATCACCTGCATGGCACTGCCAGCCAATCACCAGCATGGCACTGCCAGGCCCCAGGGCGACACACCATCACGCCGAGTCCATCGCAGGGCACGAACATCACACTGTGGACATTTTGGAGACGAAAGGTCATGTGACTGCATGTCTCTGAACTGTGGGAGGAAACTGGAGGCACATTTAAGGAGCCATACAAACACTCAGAAAGGGGAGGGATTTTAAAACGTTACGGTACATTTTATAATATGTATTCTATCAGGCACATCGCTAGAAAGTAAACTTACGGGTTTGAATCCAGTGATTGCCATGTTAGATTAATATATTGGTCTGGACACCACAGGCAGTGATGGGGCACTTTCCCCTCCCAAGCTGAAGTTTAAACTGAGTGTTAGACCAGTTAAACTGCAGTTAATGTATCTCTGTGTATTTATGGTAGTTAATTTTACTGGTACATTGCTGACTACCTGTATATTGCACTGTCTTGACTGTCTGAGCCCTATTTGCACTGTATGTACGCTGTAGACCCTGAGTATTGCCGTATTATCTCTCCGTATTGTTATATAAGGTGAGATGACAAGTTCACTTTGACTTTGATTTACAACCGATTAGACTTATGACGACTCACACAGGCCCTGCCTAGTGCACACTGCCTGTACGATAGCTGACGTGGAAAAGCTTTGCACTGTATGCTGGTCGTGAGCAGCCCAGCCTCACTCGCATCTCCCAGCCTCGTTCTCACACTTAAAAGTCCTTTTCCGACATACATCCATTTCGACGTTTGACCTGTCGGTCAGAACCCAGTCTTAAGTCGGGGACAGTCTGTATCGATTTTACACTCGTTCACTGTAAGCACAGAGTCATGGTCGGCAGACCTCACATGTTGGGTTCTGCGGCTCAAACTTCATCGCATGGCACCCCCCGCTGGACTGGAGGCCGTTTATCGTTGCATAACATGCGACTGAATCGTCAATATGCCCCATCTCACATTATACATCCACTCACTTACTTTGCATCTGGAATGACTCGAATTTCCACTCCTTTTGTTATCAGAGTGACGATGATCCCTTTGGCACGTTGCCTTGGAGTTAATTACGGCAGCTTCGCCGCGGCTCTCATCTCAGATAATTAGAGATCAGATCTTTGTGTATTCATCAATTAAGAATGAAGCTCAGAACATTATGTACGTATATTCTACTTGACTGAGGGTTATTATATATAATTAGATATTTATATATATAATATTATATTACATAATGAATTAAATTTACATATAGTTAATCTCCTAACAGAGTAATATCCTTACAGAAGCTGTTCAAGTGCATCGCTCAAGGCAATCACAGCAGTGGAATTTGAACTTGTTGCCTCGTTCCTAAACCAGGTGACCTTCGGGTGCTGGAGCAACGCCAAGTGGAGCATGGGCTTGCCCTGCTCGTGCCTCGGCTTGATCGTCGATCTGTTTGCGTTATATTTTCACATACGACGTCTGTGTCCTTCAGGGACGGCGGCATGGAGCCACTCGGCAGGACGGCTGGAGTGGAAGAGACAGGAAATAGGAGAAAGAGGCACACCAGCAGGGGGCGATCTTTAGCTGTCCCCCTCTGGAATCCTGCATGGCCAGACCCCAATACAGGAGCCTCACTTGACTGAAGTCCATGAGGAGGTGAGGAGGATGGGGGGGGGGGGGGCAGGGTCGTTGTACTGTCCGGGTGGGTGGGCTGTAATTAATCTTGTCAAGTTAATCTAATCAGCGGCTTGCAAGCTGTCAAATGATACAATTCAAATCGTCTTTGATCTACTGCTCGAGCCTTTACTGCTTTCATCATTGTTTCTGCACAGTTTTACTGAATGAAATGCATTCAAATAAGAAAAAAATGCAAAGGAATATTTTGCAGTTGAAGAGACAGGCACTGGAACGCGTGGTCTGGCCACACACAGTGTCTGTCTTCCTAAGTGGACAGCCGACCCCGCACTGGAGCACTGGAGGATTCTCAGGGGCCTATACCACTATACCCCTCCCCCATGCACTTGCACCATTCAGAAAACAAACACCCCCATCTATTTTCCTAATTCCTTAAAAGGCTTCCCTCCATTGAAGTGGCTCCGCATTCCATACGACATAAGCAGTGATACCAGAGTCATGTCAAACATGAGAGTTATTGATTTCATTTAGTAGGGGTGTGTTGGGTGTTTGGGGGGGTGGTGATTGAAAACAGAATTTGTTGAAACAGTGGTCCTAAGGCAGAACTATGCATGCTTCTCACTTTGGCTACAGCTTAATATGGTCAGGATTCCTGGTGAGGGGAGGGGAGTGTGCATGAGCTGGTGAGAGAAGGGAGGGGCACAGAGGGGGGGGGGGCTGGGAAGGAAGGACCAACCTTGAGCGGTTGTGGCCTAGTTTGCCCCAGCCCCTGTCAGCCAGCCCCCCCCAACCCTCAGTCTAATAGCTGCAAGCATGTTCCTGCGGAAGGTTCATGTGAGGATCCAGCTCAGAAAACATGTTTGCTGGAGGAAGGAGCAAGGAGAAGGCAAGGGGGGTGAGGGTGGGGTGGGGGGGCATGGGGGAGGGCAGAGGAAAGGGGAGTGACTGACCTACATTTTATGTCCGCCTTTCACTCCCCTTCACTTGTCGGTGGGTTTTTTCCTTAATAATGAGGCTCATCGCTCTCCCGATGTACTCTAAAAGTTTACACGCTGTCATCATACTTCAAAGCTTGCAGAAAAAGTTATTTCCATGCTATATTATCTATTATTAGCAAGATTTTAGCCATGGCACATGACTGGCTGTCAACAGGCACACAGTAGCTATGTTGGACTTATGAAATGGTTTTACTCTCTTCCTAGGCTCTGTCCCTCCCATGCTCCCCCTTTTCTCTTTCTCCCTCTCTGCTTGCACCTCTCCCCCTTTCAGGTGCCCCTGCTCCGCTCACACTGAGCGCTGACCCAGTTTTTTGTTTCTTTTCTGTAACCACCAAAAACAGCCACTTGAACAGCTGCAGCTTCGCTTCGAACCCGGAGCCCTTCCCTGCCAGGCTGCAAGCTGTCCCATGCTGACCGTTTCCCTTTCAGAGGCACATTCCTTCATCTTTGAGGTGGTTGAAGGGAGCGGGACCAGGCTGACCAGCACACCACAGTAAATGGGGGGAGAAACCGGGGGGAGAAACCTGGGGGAGGGGCTGCCCCAGATTTTTTTGGGCTATAAGGCACATTAACAACGATCCTATGTTTTGCCTTACGCACCGACTTGTGGATTTAATCACTCGGTGCCTAAATCGGCCAGGTATGTTGTTTAGCCAAGGACCAGTGCTTTCTGTCGGAGCTGGTGATGCCGTACGAACGTGTGTGACCCACACCAGCAGTGATTTCTGTTTTCTGACTAATCCGTGACTCATAACGTTTTTCCACTCTGTCTGAATATTGGCTGCTTTTGGGCGTTTCATAATCCCCGGACAGTTCTGTGTTGTAATTGCATTATACCCTCATCCAAGTTCATTTCATATTAACAGTGTGAAAATTTCACAATACGGCCCGACAAACATCTTCCTAATGTTAATCCTCACTGATTAAACTGCACAGTTGCTGCACAAGATGCCAGAAATCCAACATACCGAACAAAACAAGCTAATAGCCCGGTTTTGAGAGCTAAAAGGTATTTTAAAATTATTATGTAATATTAATACCAGCAATTGGGGCCATCTTCTCATTCCTGAAGGGCTGAAGTCATTAATTAAAGCACAACTAAATATCAGGAACATCCTGACTAATTAAACATGGATGAATTTTTCACTTGTGAAGTAAAAACCAGCAGATACCTGTCATTTTTAGCAAAGGGCACGATCTTAGACTCCACTCTGTTACATAGATGAGATTCCAAAGACATGACACAAGTTTCATAATCAAACCAGGATCTGATTTAGTTTAACAGGAATGCAATTTTCAGGGGGGGGTACAGTGAACTCTTTGTGCAGCACAGAGCTGCCCCCACCCCCACCCATGGATATGTACCCCTCCCTGTCTCTCTCCAAAGCCTGACCTACTTCTCAGGTACTTTGGTTACGTAACTGGGTCGCTCGGGGTCCGGGCCCTCTGCAGCCCGCTAAAGAGCCATGCCAGATCGGCTCAGCCTCACAGGGCCCAGGAGGCAGGTCCGACAAGGGCTGGGGGGGTCGGGGAGGTGCCCAAAATACCATCTGTGCCAGGACATGGGCAGGAGATTGGAGAATCAGTTGAGAATTCCTCTCCCTGCCACACCGGATAATGTTAACCATTGTTAACTGTAACTGTCGTTGGCAGTAGCTGTAATTTTGGCTCTTGCGCCAGGAGATTCACTATGTGTGCCCCCCCCCCCCCCCCCGTGCAGGGTAACAAGCCAGTCTGAGGAATAGCAGTTTCGTCACATGCCAAATCTGGTACATGTAACAGCTGAGTTTACAAGCGCTAGCTAGCTATTGTAAGGTTTGCTTTTGTTGTGCGATTCCAGAAAAACAAGTTAAGACTGAGTGCCCTGCTATTTCAAAACATTGCTGTAATGAGAACCTAAACAATAAAATAATTTTGACTTTATTCATCCATCTGTTTTTAAGTACGATGGCTCAGTAGGCAGCACTGCACGCTCACACCTCCGGGATTATAGGCCATTCCCTCCCTTACGGGTTTCCTCTAGTTTCCTTGCACGGTACAATGATATCCAGTTAAAAGAGTCAGCATCTTAAAATTGCCCCATGTAGGGTGTCCTCCACACTCACTGCAGCCCTGGACTAGATGAGCAGTTATGGAAAACCAACAGATATTAAAAAGTCAGCTGACCCAGGTTAACCTGAATGGGATGTCAGCCCACTGCAATCAGCCAAACAATGAGTGTTCATTCTTCAGGGGCAAAGCCAGAGGAACTCCTGAAGGTGGGATTTGAACCAATAACCTTGCAAGCATGAAGCAGCAATACAACCCACTGCAAGACTTTGTGACCCTTCAGGACTCCTTTATATACATATGCCGAAAATAAAAAGAAAGGAAATTGAGACAATATTCTTAACATTAACTACCAGATACATATATTAAGGTTGTTAAAATAACCACTGAAAAGCACAATGAAAATTCCGAATGTGGATTTAGGCAAGGGATACAGTCTCCATGGATTGGGGTCAGAACCCAGAACCAGCCTTCTCTCTTGGATTGCAGCCGGCAGTGTCTCCCTGAACTAGCAGTTTTCGGGTGGTCACGCTGACCAGCCCCAGGCACGATACCTACACTCCAACTTGGCTCCCACATGTCCGATTAAAAGTCTTCTGTCTCAGCAATCAATAAACAGAGGGTCAGGCTGTACTCATACTGAACTTTATCATCCTAGTAAAGTATTCATCTCAAAATTTCTACAAGTTCCGTATGTTATGATCAAAGAAGATTCCAGAGCAGAGGGGGAAAAAAAATGCTGAAATATGTCAATCTGGAAAGTGTTATAAAGCTCTTTCTGAGGGCCTGGGACTCTACTGAGCTACAGCAAGAGGCATCACTGGCAAATGGGGAACACTGGGAGCGATGGGGCTCTTCCTGGGAGATGGCATGTGAATGACTGAGGTGAAGCGGAATGAAAATGCATGGAGTAGCCTAGTCAAGGTCCTGAGCGCCATGGCAGGACCCAGTGACCTACAACAAGCAGCTCATGCTGAATGAAGTGGCCTCCTTCAAAGCAGGTCTTCAAAGAGCAGAGGGCCAGACTCCTCCACAACAACATGAAAGACTGAAAAGAAATTATAGGAAATGTTCAGTTGCAGTTACTGCTGCAACATGAGGTGCGACTGGTTGTTAAATTTTAAGGGGAAATTACCTTTCCATATCGGTGACAATGTTAGATAATTTATTTAAGGAACAAAATTATTTTAAAAATGTACTCAGGTTCCTATGTCTAATATTACATTTTGTCTAAACACCTGACACCAGTGTGACGAATATGTAATCATTGAGGTAATCATGATGGGGGCAAATACTTTATCACAGCATGGTGTCTGCCCCATGGCGTGGCAAAATTGCAAGGTGCGGTGGATGGTACCACTGACCTCACAGGTAACCTCAGAGTCTAGGTTCTGCCAACTGGGCCAGTGATTACTTTGCGAAAGTGGCGATATGAGGTACAGCCCCCAACACACACACACACACACACACACACACACACACACTCTTGCCTCCCCCAACCCTTTCACAATGACCTACTTTTCCTCTGGCCTGTTTTTGTCTGGATGCCTTCTGAATCTAGAGGCCCACAAAAATGGAAGTACTGGAATTTGTGGGTCCCAAACTTGGTGCCCTGAGGTACATCGATAGCAGCAGTCATGGGGCAGGTCTCACCCCGAGTCAGACTGCGAAGCATGCAGGCTCTGCCAGGTGGCGCCGGTGTGCTGGGGTACGGAACCGGGGCAGATCGCAAGGCTACAGACACGGCCTCATTGTGGGTTCATGACTGTGATGAAAAGGGTCACCCTCCATCAGCCATATCCCGAGATGCCAGATTATCCATCCCATCAGGGATCATCTTACACCACAAATAAACCACCCAAGAGTTGCTGTAACGCTGTATTTTACTTGGAGTAACTTTACATAATTTGTTTTATTCATATATTCTAAAAGCATGAGAAAACGTGCTCTTATATAGATATAAGTAGGGCAGCAGTATCATAAATAGTTTATAGTTGCTCACGCAGTTAAACATCGCACGGTTTGGGAACTGAGGAAACAGAAAAGTGCACAAATTAGGAGACTCCTTTAGAGCTTGGCTCACTTGGCCTCCTGCCTGAGCTACACAGAGCCGGAGAAACTCTGGCATGATGCACGAGGGGGCATTTTTTTTTTTTTACAACTCAAACACAACAGCTGTGGCATTAAATTTAGACGGAAGCCAATTCAGGGATGGGTCTGGCTATCAGTAACCAGGGCGTAACCAAAGTCCGCCAGCTGGACTCACCAGCCACGCCGGCCCCTCTCAGCACAGAGCAGAATGAAGGGGGGGACTTCATTCAATCCCAATTACTCATTCGTAGAGGTTGCCCATAAATTACCCTTTAATTCTCTCTCGTAGGTGGTCAGTGGAACGAGGGTGTTTCGTAGGTGTTAATGCATGCCGTGTTACGTGTCCTCTCAGTGCCGAGGGAAGAGGGGGGAAAAAAAATAACGAGTTGAGATTCTGGTCATGGCGTCTATAGATAATGAGCTCATTGAGAGTCCGCCGACGGCCCGGGAAGCACGTAGAGCCAGGCCCAGGAAGGGGCGAGGAAAGGAAAACTAGGCCAGCTGTTACATCAGCAAAGCCTTGGGGGGCATTCCGGTGGGACGCCGTGTGCCAGACGTCACCGCCACGCTCCCGTGTGCTCCGATGAAAGAGCAAGCTTCCGGAAGAAAACCAGAGACATACTTTGTGCAGGAAAGAGGGGGGAAATTGAGGGGAGTGGAAGCTGAGGCGTACTGCGCCCAAACTCGTTAAGACTGTCGACATCATTTCGTGTTTATGCCCGAGGACGACAAAATGTCAATTACCGAGCGAGGGATGGGGGTTAGGAGAGACTGTTAAGAGGAACCTGCAGAGATCTCCACACCTGGGTTTATTGCTGCAGCCGGATCAGGGAGCAGAATTTGGGAGGGATGAACAACACCTACGGTTTAAATACAGTGAGCACTGCAGAACGAGAGGGACTCATGAAAACGTTTCATAAAACCTACCTAGCTGAGGGTCATGGGGCCTCATGTCCTGCACATATCGGTCTCTGTAAACCATGTTACCAGTGGCCAGAAGTACACAGAGGGAGAACAATTCCACGGAATGCCGAAAAAAGACACACAAAAACGACTAATGCTGTTTAACACCTTTTTTATTTTCTTTAGAGCTTGAATTCCACCCATCTTCACTGTTAACATTAGTGTTTCTACTTGTACACCCAGTCTCTTTTGGGGGGGTTGGAAAGGTGACCCCCCCCCCCCGCTCCATCACATCACACACAACTTCTTTTCAGAAAACTGAAAACGAAAATTAAAAATAAAAATCACTGCAGCATGTTTATAGGGATCAAAAACATGTCACAGTCAGGAGACAAAGTAATGTGGGGGGGGGGGGGAATAAAGGGAAAATAAAACCAAAATAATATTACAAAATCATAAAACTTACAACACTGTCCAAAAGAGAAAACTATACATGTATACACAATGGCCAACGACAGGCACCAGGGCAGCGAAACGGATTCAGTGCAGACTCTGGACTCCAGTCCCAGTGAGACAAATTACAAGGCAAGGAGGCAACTGTTTGGGGGTTGGGGGAGGGGCGGGGTGTCAAACCAATGACTTTCCAGGTGACGAGCTGAATGCTTGCAACCTAAATTACAGTGAACTATTTCAGTTGTCTTGGTTCTATTTTTCCTCCATTAATTAAAACCGCCGTTGGTAAATCGCGGCGTGACGGTAGGAGAGCGGCTTGCGATCGCGACACAAATCTGCTGAGGCGTCACTGTGCCTTTACACTGAGGTAGCATTAAGTTTCCGGCTGAACCCGATCACAGACAGAGAACAATAGATATAATTTAGTTTCATATCACAATCGCTGCTAATATGCTTCGAGCACAGTTTGTGTGGTCTGAGGTCGAACTAGAACCAGTGCCGTACAAGATCGCTTATGCGACATCAAATCTCATATACAGACCTTGATTTATTGATGATCTCCTTAATTTCCAACTTATTTTTTGGCGAAAGTCAAAACATGTTTACCTTTAAAGAGGCACGATTTGCTGCCAAACAACAACAAGGTTCTTGGTTCAGCTCGGATACCCGCCCCGGAAGTATTTCCGCCTCGCCAAAAACTGTGGGCACCAGTGGGTCTTAGCACCCCCCCTCTGCCCCCCCACCACAGCAGCACAGGTTCGACTGTGTGCTTCAGCTCAGGAGAGGGAGCGGCGCTTTACTTCGTCTTCAGCGGAAAGTGGCCAACCCGCTGAGCACAGCGGCACGGTGCCGTTGGGGATTATATATATATATATAAAAAAAAACAACAAAGAATAAAGCTCATAGTGCTGTGAAAATAAATTAAACGACATTTTGTTTTAAGTGGCATTTGTTACAACTGACAAGATATGGTAAGACTGTACAACAATTTCAACACTGACAAACCATCCCTACTCCTCCTTGGTTCCACATTTATTTATTTTTTTTTAAGTTTTTTTGTTTTCATCTTAAAATAGATTTAAATATAATATGTATATTTATGTCACAGTAATATACAATCCAAGTGCTTGAAGAGTTAAAGGGTACTGGAAAGCCAAGACCAAAAGACAGAATGCTGGGGGGTTAGGGTTAGGACGTCGGATGGAGCTCTTCACGAGACGACGGCTTCTTTGGTCAAGGGATGTGGCCCCCAGGGTACCAAGAGCTGAGGAGGTGAGGGGCCCGAGCAACAACAACCACACACACCCACCCACACACAAATACCAGGGGCACTTCTAGGCCTCACAAACTGTGAATTCATTACGGCCTCACTTTTTTTACAGGACTATCTGTGTGCTATAATCACTTTTGACATAGATTTTTATTTTTTTTTTAAAGGAGAGAGTTCCATTCCACCTTCTCCTTCACACAACTTGGTTGGTCGATCTGTAAGTGCTTAGTAGAGCAGACAGAATTGCGGGAGACTTGTCCACTAAAGTCAGTGCAGCACAATAGTGCATCCTGGTGTCCAGCAATGGTTGAAGGTCTGTTTAAGGACTCAGGTCTTCCTGGGTCCAGGGATGGGGGCAGGTCTAGTTGAGATTGGAAGTACAAAGGATGGTGACTCAGTCATGCCTCTTATTTCTTCCACTCCGACTACTTGGTTCCTTTCTGCTGCCCTCCTTCCTCCCCTCTCCTCCCTCCTGTCGCTCTGGAGAAGCAGGCTCTTTCTTGCAGCTCCCCGATAACACTGGACCTGCTTTCTCCTTGCCGTCACTCGGCTTCTGGTCGCTTGGACCGGGGGCCAGAGATGGGTGTTGAAGCTGGGCGATGGGTGAGACCACAGAGGGAGGCAGCGCTTCTCTCTGGGTCCCCGCAGAGCCGCTGCCCAGCGTCCGGTACTTGAGCCGCAGCTTATGAGGCAGGGCGGTGGCTTTGAGCTCTGGCTGACTGTCCCCACTGTGTCTCTGGGAGACGGGGGTAAGTGATGGGGACACAGACTGTGGTGCCACAGTTGGGTGCTGGTAGTAGCCCCCCGCATCAGAGGAGGACGACGCCGGGGACTCGTCGTCAGTCAACGTCTCTTTGTCTGAACTCCGGGGCTCTCCGTCGCTAGATGAGGTGTCCTTGCCGGAGGATAAATGCTCTTTGTAGTACCCGCCAGACCCAAGGCCACCTTCGTAGGTGAGCACTGGGGGCTCCTCGTTCATGGGGCTGAGGTAGGCGTGTTGGTGCTGGTACGACTGGGACTTGCCCTCCTCTACGCTGTTTGAGAGCTCGGGGGCACAGGAGTCTATACTGCTGTCCTGCTGTTCATCATGGTCTGGATAACCATAGAGGCCCTGCTGGTGCTGAGCTCTGTGCCCTGGTCCCTCTCCTGCATCACTGTGTGTAGCGGCGTACGAATAAGGTGGCGAGTCCAGAGCCTTCATCTCTAACCGGTCTGCCACCTCCATCACAGTCTCAGAGGTCTCCGTCTTGTTGGCGTGGGCTTGATGGGGGTTTGGAGCGCTTTGGTGCAGCTGGGGCACGGATTGCTGCTCCAGGGCCGGCAACCGCCGGTCATCGACGGGGAAGGTGCTGCTGCTGGAGCGGTAGAGGATGACGCTCCTCTGTGGTGTAGCTATGGAAGGGTGGGCAGTGCTGGTGATGGCCTCTTGTCCATGCGGGTAGTCTGTCATGGGCTCCATCTCCTGCTGACTCTGCTGGTGTTCTGAGGACCCCAGGCTGTGACGGACGCTGAACATGCCCCCGCTGCCCCCACTATCCATCTCTGGGCCACTGATGTCCACGCCCAAACTCTCTTGCTTGATTGCATAGGGTTCCGGGCTGTCCCGGGAGGAGCCGTCCGACATGTCGGACAGAGAGCCACGTGGGGAGTACTTGGGCAACAAGGTGTGCCTGTTACCCCGGCCTGACTGCTCAGCCTCCGAGGAGTCCGAGTTCACCATCACCTGCGAGGCGCTGGAGTAGCTACTGCTGGAGAAATAGAGATTGCCAGCGGAGGCGCCCCCGACACCTCCTCCGCCCCCACCCGCACCTATCTGCTGGCTTTTCTCCATGTAGGAGGCAGAGCTGATCAGCCCAAAGCGCAGCTTCAGCTGCAGGAGCTCCGTCTTCAGTCGCACGTTCTCCTCGTTGAGCGCCATGACGCGGTTCTCCAGCACCATGTCGTTGAGCCGCCGCTTCTCCCGCGAGCGCTTGGCCGCCTCGTTGTTCTTGCGGCGCTTTTCCCAGTAGGAGGCGTCCTTCTTCTCGTCAGAGATGAACTCCCGCTTACGCCGGCAGGTCATGCTGGGCTTGGGTTTCGTCGTGCGTGCTGGGCGAGGGGGGTTGCTTGGGGGCGATGGGAGACTCTCGCTGTAGCTGGAGAACGTCTCTAAATTGTCAAGATTGCTGGAACCGGTCGAAGAAACAAGCAAATTCAGGCTTTCCATTGTTCTTCGCTGGAGGCCACGTCTGTATACTGGCACTCAGCTGACATTGGAAACGGAATTCTGAAAAATATAATGTGATTGGTGAGACAAAAGAGAAAGAATGCTGATCTCACGTGGGTAACTTCTTTGTTTAGATTTGGGAATTCCTAGGTAGGGAGAGCAGCAAAAAATTCCAGATGAGGTATTGGTGCTTCACTGGAAATGAACTTCATTGACTTCGTGGCAGGATTCCTTCATACATTTTATTTCATGTAAATGTTTGCATGTTCAGGGGTCAAAATAAAACAGTAAAGTCAAAAACAGGCAGAAGTCAACACAAACCTCTCATTTAGCTTAAGTAGATGATGTGAGGAAAAAAAAAAAAAAAGAGGGAGAAAGACTCGCTCCAGGACTTTCAGACGTTCCTCACTGCGCAGTTGCTGGAAGGAATTCCTGGAGTCTACAGAATGCGAAAGGGGATCCCCCCAAATCCTCACAGGACCTTCGAGAGGCAAGGGATGTGGCCAACAGCACTTCAGGGTGTCTTGCAGGATGTAGGTCGTATGGTCTGCCTTGAGATTTTCAGAAGCTCGAAGGTCGCAGAGGCCCAATTCCTGTCCTGTGACTCACGATTAACAGACTGCGGAAAGAGACAAGAGAGGGGGGAATGTCTTAATAGTTGAACTCTAAAAACGTCCACACCGAGCTCTACAGATATCAAACGGGCAAAATTTTTGCCAAAGGGAACAGGATCATAAATCTAAAGCTTAGGTTTCACAATATCATTAGCTAGCTCTAGAAAGTTCACGACGTTTGACCCAGTGACACCCAAACACTAACCTGATGTTTAAGTTGGCTGCTTTTACCGAAACCATTACAAGAGACTTCAGAAGCAAGTCTGGCTGATGTGGGCTTTATCTGAAGCCATTATTCGACATTCATGCAAATTCCTTTTCCTCATATGAACACAATACTCGCTAGAACCCGAACTCGTATTTCAAATCAGAAACTCGTAGCTATGGTAAAAAAATAAAATAAAATAAAATAAAATCGTGATTCTTTTTGAGATGCCTGAATTGAGGGAGAAAATGAATTTAACCTAAAGCAGCGCTTCTCAACCCGGTTCTTGGGGACCCCCAGACGGTCCGTTTTTCAGGGACCGGTTTGAGAAACATTGATCTAAAGTAAGTAGTATGTATGACAGTCAGTGCATGACAGTCAAACAAGCCTGACATCTTTATATGAACAATTAACAGGCAGAAGCACAGGTGCAACAAGGCAGGAAGCAGAATCTAAACCCCAACCATGAAGTTTGTCCAATATAAAGCCAGGACTGCAGACTAGGTGGAATTATTTATAACAACAGGCAGCAGAAGAAAGATTTCTGCATGTGTGCTGAAAATAGTTTAAGAATAAGACAGAAGGTGGATGAAAAAGGTTAGATTCTGTGGGAAGACAGAGCAGGTGGAGCTGACTGAGGAATACAGGTCAGTCAAGGGAAGTGGGGCAGGGAGGTAGACCCTTCCATGACACACTCGTTTCAGACAGCAAACGTGTCACATAACCATCGCTATAGGTGTGTGTGACCCGAAGGGGACAGCAGTCCACACTTTCCAGTCCGAGCCGTGACCAGTCAGCCCATCCCTGTGTGCGGAGATGAAAATGGCATCGGGAACTGACAACAGAACCCCGTGAAGCTGTTTCTTATGACAGCGCTCCAGTCCCCCCGCCCAAAACGTTACTCGTCCGGTAGTGGCTTTGTTTCCCTCCAACTAAAACAAAATAAATTAATTAATTCAAGGGAACAAGGGAAGTATTTGGTCCGACGCCCACGGTGCGGACGACACAAACTTGAGAGCGGCTCCCCAGCTTCAGAGCGGAGAAGTGGTGCTTACGCCAAGCCGTCGGAGATTACCAATCTGTTCTCACGCGTGTCGAAATTGCCTAGGGCTTGGAGCAGAGATGCAGCCGAGCCCTTCCTGGCTTATGTCAGCGTGGCGTTACACAACGCGGACGCGGTTCCAGCAGCCAAGGGGAGCGATGCTCATTCTCGGTGACCCGGTAACTGCCGCGAAAGCTGAAGCTGTGTCTTGAGTCATACCAGCCCCATGTCTTGCTCGCAAGTTCCATAAACCGGGATTTTAACCTGTACCATGAACCCTTAGAACACCACCATAAATCACACTTTCAGTGGGTTTCCCCTCTAGGACAAGATTGTCCAGAATGTTTACTTTTTGTACAATATTAACTTCTGAAACAGGACTTTTGCTAAACATATATATATAAAAAAAAAATACTAGTGCCAGCTAACACTGGTAATACGGTCAGGATGTTTCCCGTAAACGGAGTATGTTTGCTCTGGGGACACCCAACACCCCCCTACTCCATCTGTCACACAAGTTCACCTCCTTTCTTCACCTCTTTCATCCTCTGTATATCCTGGTATCATCCTAAACACAAGGAGAAAAACTCATCATCTGATTAAAGACAATTCAATTTCTAATTTTCGCAATTAATTTAATTTACGGCAGTTTATTTTTGTGTGACTAAGAGGTAATAACCCTGCCTGGATATGCGGTCAGAGGATGAATGGATTACTCAATACTAATTTTCATTTCATTGCAATATTTAATAAGCTAAACCCTACAAACAGGCTTTATGGACGCCACCATTTGAAGTTGTGCTTGTTTCCGCTGTCCATGTGAACATTGCAATTATGATGTAATATGTTCTTGCACACAGGGCTCTACTCTGAGGTTATTTTCTGGCTTTTCTGTGGTGTGAGAATGTGTTATGTAACCCCAGTGTATTTCTAAATGCTATTGGAAGACACCTTTTGCTGGCCCACCCTCATCCCAAGATCTCATGAACCGAGCTTTGAAAGAATAACCAGAAATCACAGTTTAACCAGGTGCTGGGTCACAGTTGGTCTACACTAAAGCACTGTCCAATGTCAAATTCCCAACATTCTGCTTTGTTTTCTTTCCTAAATGGGGGTGTGCATTTATTTAATTCACATTAAATAGCTGGGAAACAGAGGGGCATGGGATCGCATTGTGGGGGGGGCTACCTAGGTCAATGAGAGCCCAACAGAATAACGACAGATTTGATGGAAAAGACGTCTCTGTACTTTGAGACGCGCGTCCCACTGACCCAGAAACCGGACAGAATGGTAAACACTGCTTACTGCCCAACTGCCTTAGAGGTGGGGGGGGGGGGGGGGACAGGTCAGTAAAAAAATGGGCAGGGAGAGAGAGAGAGCAAGACAGCGAAAGAAAAATGGGGATAAAGAGCAAAAGAGGGGGACAGAGTCTGAGACCAAGGGGGGAGAGAGGGAGAGGGTGGGATTAGAGTCGGCTCTAAAAATAGAGCGAGAGAATGGGAGGGATGTGAGGGATGGGAGGGACGTGCTGTAAGGAATTCAATTGGCGGAGAGGAGAGGAATTTTACCAGCACTGCGGTATATAAGAGAAACGTCAGCAATGGGGGGCGGTGGGGGGGGACACTTTTCATGGATCAATGAATCATGCCTAATATTAATCCCCCCAAACATCCCAACTCCACCACAGAGACAAATAGGTTGCACTGAGGCAGACTGCTGGTGTGTGTATGTGTGTGTGTGTGTGTGTGTCCCACAAACAGCTAACGTCACTACATACGCACACAGTTCCGTTTATTGCTCCTGCAGCCAGGACAAGCTACAGGCATTAAAGTTTTTTTCCAGCCCCACCAGTGCATAATTGGCTTTGGTTCCCACATGCATCACGGACGAGGAAATTACGAGTAGCCCCACGACGCCAGCATGCACCACGGTCTCAGTGCAAACACGGCCTCCCCGCACGCTTTGAGAATAAAATTAAAGGGCAACACTTCTTCCTATATTATGTCACTGACGTATAAGTTAAGATCCCAATAATACAGACTTGGCCTTACTGACAAACCAAATATACTGAGGCAGTTCAAAAATGAAGAAGTTAGTACATCACTTTGCTTCTGGTACCATTTGCTCATCTGCTTGTTGGACTGTACCGGGAGCTACAGTCTTAACTATCAGAACCGTGCACCCGCTGACCTCCAGAGTCTGGACATTAGAAACCCTGCCGACAGCTGATACAGCAGGACCACAATTCACTGTGCTGGCAAAGCAACAGGCCAAAGAGTCACTGTTGTACCTTTGACCTACAACTGTATGTGTTTTGCATAAATTCTTTGTGAATGAATTTGGTCAAATAAAAAAAAATGGAATAATCTCAACCATTCAAAGAAAAGCATGGACTATCATCTGACTAACAAGCCCCCCCCCCCCCCCCCAGGCATGCTCCACCCACGCGGTTGGAGGTCTCTCATGCTAGACAATCCATACCTGGATTAATTGCAAAATTCCATGAACACCAAGAACGTGCAAGCGAAGATTAAGGAGGACAGAAACTGGTCAGTCTGGATGAGTGTGATCACATGCAGGACAGGTGTAGCGTTTTGCATCTCCCATTCTGGCAGAATATGCAATAGCACACAACCTACTACACACATTTTCTTTGTTTCGACACACCCGAACAGGAAGCCAGGAGGAAGCATATGTATACCAGAGGCATGGCATGGACCACGTGTTCTGCACCGGCTCTTTCCATGGACTCGTTTCCTCTACTGGACAGCACTTTCTGAGGCTGGCGTGAACCTACACAGAGATCAGCTGCACCTCGTCCAACTCTACTGGCCACAAAGCCAGAGAGGCAACACCTTGACTTAACGACAAGGTACAACTTCCGCTTCATGTGTAAAATGTCCATTTTTTTTTTTGTCATCATGACTGACAGAAACAAGGTGATGACGTCACAATAGACATTTTGTGTGCCGTATCCATGACCATGGACAATGTCACAATTTCCATACACAGTTTGCAAGTCATTTGCATTTTTCTCTGTGGCATCATGAGCCACAAATACGAGGTGCCTGAACACAGGAGGACTAAAACAGCTGCGTTCCTTTTCAAAAATACACGATGGAAAACTGTGCAGTCTAATCACACCGGTTAGTTAAGACAGAAGGAACACAGCATTGTAGGAAGACCACAACACACGGCCGTTTCTGCTACTAGAGATCACACAAGTAGAGCGACTACTTCAGTTGTCCTAACCCCTGTAAGACCAGCAAGAATGTGCCCCGGGGGCCAGCGAAATTTCCCCCTCCCCCCACACTGAACTTCCCTAGCCTCTCTCTCCTTTTCCCGGACAACCGATTTGACCTACATTTCCGAACTACTGGTGCCAACTGGGTTAAGCGGCGCCCAACTGCCAGGCATGGACACCACCACACACACTCTGGGTTTCCACTAGTTGCGTCATCTCTTTTATACAGCTAATTGGGGGCGGAGGGGGCTATTATCTTTATCCTTCCTTACACAACCTCACAAATTGCCCTTAGGGACAGTGACGCGCGACGTTAGGTGGAATTTCAGCCCGAAGGAAGGATGTCAGGTATTTCAGAAACGATTCGGATCAGAAGTTTGCGCACTATCCCTCACACGGGACTCAAGCAATAGCTTTTTCTTGTTTTGCCTGAGAGCAGCACCGGATGAAACATACACACACGTGTTTAATGTAAATGAGCGGCTGCATGCCGCAGACAGCCACACTCTTGGGAGGCCCTGCGTGAGCACAGCTCCAAAACAGTCAGTGCAATACTTTTGTCAAAGGAGGGGCTCATGAATGTCAGGTGCCATTTTTATTCAGTTTGAAGGCATTCTGGCAAACTTCTGGAAATCCTAGATCTTTCAAGGACCGGAAGCCCAGGAGTCAACCTGTATTATTTAGTACCGGCGTGTGTGGACTTTTGAGTGTGAGAAACACAGGCAGGACAGTCAAACAGAAAGGGGGGTGGGCTGGATACCCTCCCTTCCCCATTGGATCATAGTAAAAAAAATAATAAATAATAAAAAAGTGCCTCTTCTCCCATTCATGCATAACTGCAACACTTCTGATCACAGAGCTCCTTGCCCAAACAAATTTCACAAAAAAGTCACCCGAATTCCATTCTTTGATTTGTGGTTTTCTGATTAAGCATACTAATTATTTACAACTCATTGATGGAAAAAACATAAAACATCACAAAAATTTATGTGCGTTATAGACGTTTTGTGCTGCCATCAAATGTTATTATAAATCCTTTTACTGCACACGTATTGCATACGAGGCGTTTTAGCTAAGCTGTATGAATAGTAATAATTTGATGTAACTGAAAACAAATCAGCTTTGCACAAAATCTGGGTACCTATAAAACTCCCAACGGGTTTCACGTCGTTTTACAAATTACGTAATCTTGGTATGAGGAAATAACTGGCAAAGTTTGAAAAAAAGAGAGAAAACAAGTGCTTTTGACGTCAGAGTTAGCGATTACAATAACGTGCACGTGACGGCAGATTGTATCAGTTCAAATGAGCTGATCATTTTAAGTTTAAATATTCTGTTTTTCCTTTCTTTCTCTTTTTTTTAACCGCCACTTATGACTCACCACTGACCCTTTCCAAGTTCACAGGCGGTTTTCATCCAGGAAATGTTACAACATTAGCAGCTCAGCGTAGCCACTTCCTAACCAATCCTCAATGAATCTTCAATCTACAAGTTTACACGTGGACACAATCACTGTCACGAATACACACAACAAAACTACATAACAAAGACTAAACCAACATAATATGCGTGCGATCGTCTATTACACAAGCCGGCGTCAAACACAGGCAGCGATTCGATATTTATTTTTTTTTTAAACAAGTTGGCACGTCGCACCCGTAAGCGGACACGTTTGTGTGATGATGAAATCGGATGAGTAGATGGCATAAATATTCTGTTACACAGTAGAAAATTGTATAAATAACGAGTGGCATTGCAGCCCCCCCGTGTAAATCTCAGCAAAGAGGCCCACACGTGAGAATGAAAGGGAAATCTTTAGTTTTGGCGTTTCCCTTCGTCCTCGTGGACCCCTAACTTGACAATGCATCACTTATTATTTTTTTTTTTTAAATAAACATATGTACTGCCATTACGAAACGACCGCGCAATACAACCACGTCCCGTGATATACCATGCCAACAAAGCTATTTCTCCTCATTTCACGCAAATATATTCCTTACGCTCTGTGTGAAAGTAAAAAAAAATGTAACCTCCGCGCCATCATCACGTCGCTATATAACTTTCAATGTCAGAAAATGAGTGAAACTGTTACATTTTGTAATAAAATTTTAGCTTTCATAAAGTCAAATAACCGAGGCTTTCGTTTATTGTGAGCTGCGCCGGTTTGAAAGGCTTTGCTGCCCCCGTTCATTTTACATTTCTGAAGGAATTTAACCCCCCCCCCCGCCCTACAATAGTCAATAGCAAAACGCACCGGGGCTTCGCCTCGCCCTGACATTGAGAAAATCAAATGCGCACCGCTCGCTGCCAACACGCTGCCCATCCACCCTCACCCCCTAAAACAAGACGCTAAACGAATGCTTTGCAAAACTCGGCGACTGATATTATTTATCCGAGTCTGGATTTGTGTTCACAACATCCAAGAACAATTAACACCAGCACATGTAACAGTAACAGTAAAGGCTAGGCACGAACAAAGAGGTAAGCGTGAATCCAGGCTAATACATTGTGCAATACACTGTCACCGTTTCGCTCGCTCTTCTCCGAATATCCGAATATACGTTTCTGCAGATTACCGTATGTTAGCAAGGAGGTATTTTCATACATATACGAAAACTTACCGTTGCGGCGTGTACTAAAAATCCACAGTGTTCAGCGGCACACTCCTATTCGGGGGCTGTAGTTCTCATTTATTCAGTCTTCTTACTTTCTGTCTTCTAAGTTTGGACTGAAATGTAGGCTGAGGTCGTCCTCCGCTCACCAGCGCTGAATGGTGCTGGGTTTCAGCGCGTGCACTCCGTGTCTCGCGTCTCGCTTTGAATCCTCATGTTATGTTGGCGATTTGCTCCGATTTCAGTCTCTCTCTCCTTCTGTCTCAATATGTATGTTAGTAGGTCAGTAGTTGCATAACAGAACACTTTGGTGCCTAGTCACGTTTTTTGTTCTCTCTCAGTCCCTCCTTACCCACCCCCCCCTTCTTTTCCTTCGTTTTTTTCCCCTGTAGCAGCGAATGGGAGGGGCGATGGGCGTGGCCGGGCGGGGCCAGGGGAGGAGCCAGGGCAGCGGTGCAACGCCGAAGGAGCGCTAACGTTACGCATACATAATAGAGTTACTAAACAAGGTGTAAAGTCGGGGGCCGGGGCGGGCAGTAGGAGAAGGGGGCAAATACAATAAGCCGGAAAAAGTATATTCGTGTGCTTGTATGTCAGCAGTAGCGGAGCCAGGGAAAGTGGCGATATACGTCCAATAAGGTGAGAACCGGGTATCATAAATGTAAATTTCAGAAGTCGAACGAAATAACGAGAAAGGTGAATCGAATGGGCCTGTCTGATTGGAAATAGAGATGCGAATTAGAAGCTACATTATCTGCAACTGTAACGCGCTAATTGCATTAAACTTGCGTTTAAAAGTTTTCTTACCAATCGATAACGTTTAACTTTTGTGAATGCAGAGAGCTGGAGTTAGATTACCACCATACCAGAGGCCGTCGAAAGGGTTTTGATCAGTTTTCACATGTTGTGCTTGACATTTAGAAACTGCGATCGATATTAGTTAAGTACACTTGACACAAGCTCTACGTATTTTGAAATAAACATTCACGGTTGCGCAAGTCTATAAAAGCCGTAGCACAGTGGAAAGAATGGTACAACGCAAGGACTGAAAAGCGGAATAGATGTCTTTAAAATAATCAAATAACACATGCTGGTTTACCTTATGCTGATCTTATTTCTTCAATAAGACATGAAACACGACTGAAAATTACTGTGAATCCTCAACCAAAGCATTCAGTTAAAAAATAAGCGAGCTGTCCATCATCTGCTGAACCATAGCTAGTTTATCAATTACACGGATGTAGATGCAATGTGATGGAAGAGCAAATACAAAGGTTTGAGTAACGGGGAAGTGTCGAGTATTTTTACGAGTATGATTCAAAGGAAATTACGAAATAGGCTATATAACATTGCATAATAACACGGGCATGCCTAAATAACTTTTTAAATCTGATTTTGTATCACTACATAAATATGACAAAAAAGTCTCGTCTAAAGTGTAACTAAGCGGTCAGTCTGTAGACACTAAATCATTCAACATTCAGGCAATTGTCAGGTGCAGTACACAATGAAGTTCTCATTTTATTCACTCTAGATGCAGGAAGAAGAAAAACGAACATAGAAAATGTGTATATATGTGTAAGTGTATATATACACAAACAACGATATATTCAAATGCAGTTTTACTACGTGAACATTTAATTTTATATTATGGTTTGCATACAGGATTGCATGATAGAACGGGGAAAGCCAATCTGTTTGAAACACGTTTGGGGGGGGACGTTCTGATTTGTTTTGAAGGAGTGAAAGGAAGTGTCTTGTCTGCTCAAATAAGCTCACAAATTAATTTCCTTTTTTCTCACCATGTTTATAGTTGGTTATCTCCAGCACGTAAGTATTACTATATTACTCATACAATACCCCACCCCCCACCAAAAAAAAGCAAAAATAAATAAAATTTAAAAATCTGGGATAACTTGTGATTCTTCTTTGTGTCTTTTTTTTTAGTTGAGCAATTCAGGAGTATAGTTTCAGTTTTGTCTTCAACTGAATTGTTCTTTGACACTGGTATGTGTGGGTCAGACCGACCTGACCTTGTGTAAGTATTTGTGGTATATCCGTATCTCTGTTCAGCAAGGGCAACATCTGTCCAGGTCTGTATCTTTAAGATACAGACATAATTGTTCTGATCTTTTTTTTTTTCTTTTTACAATTTTTTTTACCTGCTTACATTTTATATCTTGTGCTCTTTTTTCCCTCATTACCTTCACAAAACATCTGCAGGCCCTACAACATAAGTGTTTCTGTCTTTGATGATAGGAGCTCATATGAAACCTTAATCTCCCCAAACTGGCATAATGTTCTTATCTTCTACCACAAAAGAATAAAATAATTGCATGTACTCCATTTGAGTAAGAGCCTTTTTTTATTTTCCTCACATAAAGTTATTACAGCCCACGGCCTGGTTAGAAGATGTATGGATGATAGACGGATGGATGTTATAAGTCTTTATGACAGGGCTCTCACACTCCCAGGCCATGGGCCACATCCGGCCCACAAGAGAGTTTAATATGGCCTCAGACATGTTTTTATTTTACTATTTAATCTCGCCCTCAAATCAGTCTTAGTGCTAGGGATGAGAGAGTTAGAATTTAGTGATCAGTGGTCATTGTTGACACCACAGCCCACAGTGCACTACAACGAAATGTGTCCTCTGCATTTAACCCATATGTGACTTTCGTAACATAGCAGGGGGCAGCTAATTCAGCGCCCGGGGAGCAGCGCTTGGGGGCGGTACCTTGCTCAGGGTACCTCAGTGGTGCCTTGCTCGGCGGGGATTTGAACCTACAATCTTTCAATTATAAGTGCACTTCCCTAACCATTAAGCCACCACTGCCCACCACTAGTTACTGGTTTCACAGTAAAAATCCCGATACTTAGTATTACCATTTCAAATTTTAATAGTTAAAACTAGACATGCACTGATCCAATATTCGGATTGGTATTGGCGCCGATCCAGACCTATGTCATGCATCTGGTACTGGCCATACATGACCAATCCATGTCCGATACTTACTTATTTAGTTTTTGGCAGTCTCTAAAAACATAGCTCCTATTTCGTGTTAAATCTATTTGTGCAATCAGTTGCACAACAACTCTTTCCTATTTTTGATGTGTTTTTTGGGCAAAAATTATTAAAACAAGATGCAGAAACGAGGTGGAACACGACGTTATGTGTGTTTCTAGGAGCCTAATTTAAGATTTTTTGGCATACATTTTTTCATCTGTATTTACTAGTTTAAAAATAATATATAAAGTATAAATAAATCATTTATGTTTATTATATTAAAATATTAACGTAAAAAGAGCTCTGTATAGGATTGTGAATCAGTATTGGCAGTTGCCGGAATCAGATCGGAACTGAAAAAAATGTGGATCGACCCATTACTAATTAAAACCGTGGTTCATTACAGCACGTTGAAAAAGTTCTCCAGCATGAACCAAAGGTAGCAACGTTCTCCCAGATGCAAGATGAAACATGGGTTTGTCAGCAAAATCATGGTAGAAGGCAGTCACAGCTCTCTGGAGATTTTTCAGCCTTTTAAGAGGACTGGGTCTGGTGTACTTTTTGAACATTTTCAGAACATTTCAATCGCAGCATGATAATACCGATAAGCACACTTCAGGTGGAGCGTATAGGCCTACAGTGCAGCACTGACCACAAAGCAAAGTTTACAGGTGCAAACAGAAACCCAGACATGATTGCGCAATTTCTGAGAGTTACCCTCTTCCTTGCTAGAATTGTCCAAACAGTTCAAGCTGGTAATGTGTCTGTTTGGAAGCACATACCTTTGTGAAACTTTTCTCCACCATGAACTGGTATTTTTCTGGTTTCTGGTAGCAGGCAGTAAACAAAATCTGACCAGGTCAGCAGAATGTCCTGCATATGGTTAGTGACTGTATACATTTAAAAAAGTTGAAAAAGATGGGACGCTTTTTTGTTTTGTTTTGTTTTGTTTTGTGGTGTCTCATGCGGTCCTCTTGGGGGGAACACCACATAGACAGTGGCTGCCCAGGTAAATGAGTGTGAGACCCCTGCTTTATGAACTCAGCCAGCTACCTTCAATTTACAAGTAACTGTTTCTATCATGTTCCAACAACATACCCAATATAAGACTCAGACGCAAGTTTGTGCTTTTTAGCCATCAGACATCCACAACCCTGGGTAGGACAAGTGGTATAGAAGGTGAATGAATGAATGAATGAATGAATGAAAGTGTTTGTTCCTTTAGCCTTTTTTCTAAAAGTGATTTTTATACATGTGGAGATCCTTTTGAACCATTTGAGGTTAAATACTAATTCTAGGGAATAAGAACAAAAATCTGGTCATGAGCAGCACCTAAAACCACAGTCCAACACCTGCACAGGAAGTGAACTGGCACCTTCCTTCCTGCAGTGAGGTACAGTACATTTAAATCAACCAATGGACTGAAGTATCATATTTTATGATAAATATGATTAACGTCATATACTGATGCTTCTCATACATTCGGCATTTCAGACATAATAAGTAGGCATGTGCCTCTTTTGCCCGAATGATTGCCCAAACGATTGCCCAAATGACTATTTTCCCCTATTTGATCACATCACAGAAAATTAGTGTCTGTGTAACAGGTATGTAGAGTTCCGATAAAATCTTGATGTGACAGTAATGAGCTGGATGTTCATATAATTAAAATGTGTATGAAACTGCTATCAGCACTGCGTTATTATGGAGTTTTTGGTTTATAATTTTAATAATTACTAAGAAGTAGGATGTATGTGTCACGGCAAGAAGGAGGGACAATTCAGATGCAGCCTTTGGGTGAATTAAAAGAGGTTTTATTATGAAGCAAAAAGTACACAAACAGATACAAAGGATTGTGTGAGGTCAAAAGCAGGAGGCCAAAAGGAACGATTAGGAGGGTCTAGGACGGAGGGGGGGGGGGGGAACCTGTTCTACAGACTGCCGGTGTGGGTGCGGGTTTTTGGGATGACCTCTCAATCAGCCAATATTAAAACAGTGGCTGATTGGGAAGTTATCCCAAAAACCTGCACCCACACTGGATTCCCCCCCCCCCCCTGTTCTAGGCAAACCTAGCACAGGAATGAAGGTCAGGGCTACTGGGCAGAGCGGACACTGTCTAATCATGATGGGGGGGGGGGGGGGGCAGCAACACCACTCTGCACAAGGACTAACATCAACAGTGACTGAGCTAGGGAGCAGGGCACAAACTGATACCTATATACAGGGGTAATGAGGGCCAGATGAGAGACGGGTACGAGTGACTGGGAGGTAAAGGGAAGGAAACGGGCATCTGGGCCAATCAGGAACCGACAGGACAGGGAGACTAAGAGGGAATGTGTGGGTGGTGTGGTGGCTCAGTGGTTAGCATACTGCCTAGTGCTGTATGGATTCTGGCCCCACCTTGACCAAAATAAGCAGCTGGATCATGGATGAAAGCATGCATCTGAATACACCATAACTCATTAGTTGCATATGAAGTTTCAAATATTTGGGGCTTCAATTACGCCAATTAATACTACGTGTCCATTAATAAAGATGGTGACGGCCTAGTGGCCTAAGATGTAAAATTGAATTTAAGTTTGCATTAACCTCAAGATCATGAGGGCTATTGTGAGTAAAAGGCAGTTTCCTTCAAGGACAACTAAAGAAGGTTTGATGACGTCATCCACTTACTCTGGCTGGGATGCCTCCATGTACAGCAATCATTAAGAATCACATAGATCAAGTGACGGCAACTCATCAGAGTAATTTTTTTATGAACCTCTTTCACGTTTTTTTAACCTGGATTTTCCAAGCATCGATGGGCAAGAATTCTCCCCCGTCTCGCTGATATTGGTTGTTTTTAACAGGTTTTCATTTTATTTATTGCAAATTGTCTTAGTTCCTTAAAATCTTGTTTCTTTATATCGAAATGTTTCCTGAAATTGAAAGAAATTGCACAATATCTGTCACCGGCATTGTGGCTGTTGCAAAACTGATTGCGCAAGACATAAACAGTCGGAAAGCGCGAGCAGCGTCGGATTCCGCCGCTCTGCGCTCGCGCCGGAGATCTGCAGCTTGTGGGACCCGTAATTTATTTCTATCGAGTATCGCGTTTCCATATTCGTCCAGACGTGACAACTGATCCCGGGATGCAGCTCCGCGCTGTAAAGCTGGGGTGGGGGTGGGGGTGCCGCGCGGGTACCCTGCTGACGGCGTGAGCTTTGCGTGCGTATTTGTGTGACGGGTGGTGTCGAGTGACGGGGTCCGGGGGCGACTAGGGTAGGGGTGAAGAGGGGCTATGTGACAGAAAGGCAATTGTTCCAATCATTGTTGCCCATTACCAGTAACAATCATTATCCAATGTGCGTAATGCTTGGTTCTTTGTCTGCTATCGTATAAATGTGCTAGTGGTCTTAATATATTTAGATTTTGTGTCCACTTTTACTCACAAGGCTTTTACTTTTCTAAATATTAATATTTAGAATATTAATATTTCACATTTACTATGCGTTGTATTTGCTGCTTATTTTTGCGTATTCTGCCTTTTGTGTAGTTGATTTAATTTAAAAATGACTAAATGATATATCGATGTGTTTGTATATGGGCTGCATTCTGATGGTTTCTGGCAGAGTCAGGGAAGCAGGGTAAGGGTCAAAGTCATCTCTGCTGCTTTTGCAGTGTATTCAGGGAATGACGTGGAATTATCCCACTTTAGAGAGGTGACCTGTCAAGCAGAGGGTAAGAGAAAGAGGGTGTGGTCACCAGAATTACACCCACCTCTCTGTCTGTGCTACCTTCATCCCCTCTTTGTTCTCAAGCCGGCAGTAACACAAAGCTGAAACGCTGGCCTTGAACTTGGCAAACCGCCCCCCCCCCCCCACACTTTTCTGTATTTCCCATCCCCGGCCCCTCCCTCCCAGCTGCGTCTGCAAGTGTTCCCGTGGCAACCGTCGCACTGCCTGCCTAGCAACAGGCCTTTTTACCCGCAAAAAAAAAAGGGGGGAGACGGAGGCGGGCAGGGAGAGGGGGGGAGGCGGGGCAAACAAAGGGTCGACTTAACATTTATTTAAGATCCCAGTCAAGCCCACGGCCAAACAGGGTCTGTTTTATCGCTCCCTCTCACTCCATTACTCAGGCATACTGCTGAGACCATCGCGGTCCACAGTCAGAGGGAACCGCAGTTCCATTCATGGTCCCAACAATGACCGTCACTCCTCCCATGTGGAGAGGGTAGCATTTGTAGGGAGAAGGAGCAGAGATGACGTAATATCATCTGGTTTTCATTTCATTGGGAGACAGCGCTCTCCTGCCCCCCCCCACAACGATTCCTCTCTTGCTCCATCACTGGTGTGGTCGACGTCGGTAGCTTTACACATGACTCAGTGTTTGCAGAACCTTGTTAAAATCTGGGGGGGGGGGCAAGCATAAACATATGCTGGAAATGACCAATTAATATGTTTGGATTAAACTGCCTAGACATTTAATGGGAAAATCACCCACTGTGGTACACATACAAAGGTCAGGTTAGTCCCTCAATATTAAAAACTATTATGCTTTGTTTGTATGCAAAATGGAAAACTAATAATAATGCAAGTAAACTAAGGCAATAAGGCACATATATGGATGTAGCACTCATGTCGGGTTGGGTAGACAGGGACAGGTATTATACTGGAGTAATTAAGCTGGGACAGTCATATTTTTACAAAGGTGGGGTGCTTATAATTATTGGCTTGCAGGTGTGAAAAATATGTCCATATTAAATTAGGAACAAATGATTTTAACTGTATGGTCCAGCTGCTGCTAGAATGAACGTTACAGTTACTGATTAAGTACTGATGCTCCCTGATACACTGACCTACGATCCACATTGAATGACAGAGTTTGCTGAGTAAATAAACAAAGCAACAAATAAACGAACCGCCGAACGTTCGGTGTGTGGCTGAACAGGTGGTAACCGGAGGCAACGTGAGCCTTAGTGAAAGGTGAGCAAGCCAATGGGATGCCAGTAAATCCTGATTGGTCTTATTATTTCGAAACGTAGTAGACAAATTATACGCTTTGTGCGACTTCAGTAAACGTGTTGTGTAGCTGAGTTTCTGACCTTTGTTATCAGCCAGATGAACATGTGTCCAAGTAAATTTTTTATGCATTAGTGAATTAGAGTAAGTTTGAGAATTGAGTCCAGGATGCAGCTCCGCTCTGATAAGCCGTGGTGGGGGCGGGGTTTAGGGGTGAAGTATGCAACCAGCAATTAGGAGAGTGAGTCACTTGTGCTGTTGTACTTTTAAGTTTTGTACTTAGCCAGAGTTTCGTTTAGTAGGAACCCAGTTTGTCTGAAAAAAAGTATAAATCGCTTTGGTTTGGTGGTAATCCTGAATGAAAGCCTCTTCAGAAGCTAAGCGATGTTGAATGAACAGAGTCGCTCATTGCTCCTCCTTCTCTGTCAGCCACGCTAATACGAAGCAGATTTTATAAGGGTGTTTTTTTGGATGAGCTCCATTTTGCCACCCAGGCTGCTCGCTGTCCTCCACTCCATTCTGCGGCCCACGGGGAACAGAGATCCTGGCTGGTGCGTGGCAGTGGTGACTCAGAGGATCTCTGCGTCTCGGCAGGGGCTGTTCATCGGGTTTCTGCTACGCAGCTCCTTGCTCTGTACGTGTCTGCCGGGACCTGTCGAACTCCGGGCTGCTCGCTGCATATTAATAAGCGTATATGGCACTTTCGCGGTGTAAAAATAATAAAAAAAAGAAAACTGTTTAGGTGCCACCTTGTGTAAAAGGAGGTTCGTACACGTGCGCTGAAAAAAAAATCCATTCCACCCTCTTGATAATCATCTCAGCTTCGGTACTGCATTAATTAACTGAGATAATGAATTAACTGCTTCAGTATTGCATTACCAGAAAGATGGAAGAGAACAGAAGCTGTAGTGTAACGCAGTATAACAGAGGATAGCCTACTTCTGATACTGAATCCAGAATTTATCCTCCCCAGGTGGTCATAAGATCCTTTTTGTTCTCTATTTTTTCTTGAATTTTGTTTGTATTTTTATTTTTTTTGTAGGCTTGTAGTTCTTCAAAGAGGATGTGATACTTTATTTGTGACATGTAAGGGTATACCCCCCCCCCCGGCATCTGTGGAGAATGCGGCCTCACGAAAAGTCTCAAGCAGCTGCTCTGATAAACAGCTGGTGCAGGCGAGGATTCAAATATCCTCTCCTTATTCCTACCCAGAGCAATTTCAAATATGCTGCAACGAAACCGTTTGTTTCCGTTGAAGGTTTAATGACGCTGAAAGTGACTGAGTGGAGAGATAAGGATAACTGCCGTTACTGAGGGGACCGCGCGCCGGCGCTGAGGACGTCGGGCTGTGCGACGTCCGTGCCGAGCCCTATGGCAAGCGATACGCTGCATTCCTACATTAGTCATCCTAGTCTATCGTTCCTCATCGTCGGACTGTCTGTTGGCCTTTCTTCTGTGGTCGCAACACGTAGGCAAAAACTCCATGGAATCTCCATGGTACCAAAAATATGCAACAGGCTGGAATTCTGGGATAGGCTCTTGGGGCAACCACAAACTCCGTACTGGATAATCAGCTGCGGACAGTATGACTCCAAAATAATTAAAAAACACATCCATTTTGCCCATGTTGTCAAAAAAAAAAAACCATTTATTTACATTGTTCCTAAAATGTACAGAACATTATATTACATAATAGATAGACATTACGGACAAACAGGTGATTAAAACAAATTGATACTGACAGTGCATGGCTTTTAACTAAAGTAGTTGGATTTGGGGGAAAAAAATCTGTGATGATAAAACAATGTATTCTCAGAAAACCAAAAAGAATATCATTGATGACTTTTTCATGCTGTTTCCAAGGGCATGCACTGCAGAATGATTTCAGTGTACTAATCGTGGCTGTTCTGGAAGGACGCGGCTCTGAGCTGAGATTTCCCACGCAGCCATGGAAACTGAAGCACCAGAGGAGAGTCCGAGATCTTTAGTCTGGTTACTGTCCCTGGCAGGTGTACTTCCTGTCCTTCCATTGGCATGGTACAGGCGCTCTTTATCTCTCCATTGTGTCTCCAGCCATTGCACATTCTGTCATACGTGAAACACAGCACAAGATGCTCTGAAATGTAGTACAGAGGATGCAAAAGATTTGCTTTGGCGTGGGGATCCTTGTACCCGGGCCTTCAGCTGTCTGTCTTCATTGGCTGCCTACCTCTCTGTCATATACAAACACATAAACACACACGTTACCTCAAGGCGTGTTCGACGACCACATAAGATAAGATGGAACATTACTGATCCCCTGTGGGGGAAACCACCTGGCTTTCTCTGGCCTATGAAATGCATTCCCCTCATAACGCATCATAATCACAATAGAAACGTAGAAAACTGAGTAATGTAACATTAAATGGGCCTCACGTTGTGAGGTTTCCTGAATGGACACCAAAGCCAAGCTTAACATAATACGAGTATATATAGACTGAGAGGTGTTTTTTTTTGTTTAATCTCAGCAGTTCTTACAGTGTCAGAGGAAGAGGATGAAACAGTAGTAACAGTACAGTGTTACAAGCAGATTTAACACCACGTGCCGTTATTTATACAAAACATCTTGCGGATAAGCAGTATCTACTGGCAGTGATTGGCTGTGGTGTTTAGAAGGTGGGGGGGTCAGAGTTTAAGCTGGTCCCATGGCACAGTGTCACTGTAAATGTTTAGAAGACTGCAGCCCCGCCCCCATTCCCATGTCATTTTCTTTGAGGTTGGGGCGCCCCCGTCCTCCTGCTTAGTGCTCTGCCCCAGTAACGGGTCCTTCTGCTGAACGAGGTAGCGAGCCAGTCCCTTTTGGGCTCTTATTTTGCCTTGGAGAGCAGCTGCTGAGAGAACAGCCTCTTGAGCTGGGCCACTTCCTCGCTGAGGGAGCTGAGCTGGCAGCGAAGGGCGCGGTTCTCCATGTGATACTGCGAGTCCGTCTGGCCCCTGTGGGTCACTACGCCGTACCCGGTCGGCTGGGGGCCATATTGCTGCTCCTGGGAGGGCCGGCCCCCGCGTCCCTCCTCCCTCAGGTGCTGCTGCCACACGGCGGGGCCCTCGGGGCCCGCAAAGAAGGTGGGACTCCTCATTGGCTCTCGCATCACGGCCAACTGCACGGGGCTGCGTCTGGGCTCTGGCGGTGCCCCGCCCACGTCGCCACCATCCCCACCTCCCGCCACCTTGAAACGCAGTTTGTGTGGCAAGCTCTTCATTGTCTCCCCAGAGTCCACCCTGGTCACCATGTCGCGTGACATATCTCCAGGGTAGAGCCCCGCCGGGCCACCGCTGGGGAGTCCCTCGCCGGCCATCCCCATGGGGCAGTGGTGGGGCTCAAAGCCCGGCTCCTCCCCGCCGTGTGGTGACATCTTGCCGTGCTCGCTCATCCGGTCATCGAAGAACACGGGGCTGCCCACGCTGGAGCCACCGGGCGTGGAGAAGCCGGAATCTTCGGACAGGCTGCTGTTGTCGCGGACTCCTCGTCCGCTGTACAGGCAGCCGTGAGGAGGTGCAGGCTGAGGGGGCGCCGGCGGGCTGGGCTGGGCTCCCTCACTACGGGGGACAAAGTAGCGAGTAGCAGAGGGTGCCTGGGCACACGTGGGGGTGGCCAGGGGCAGCACGTGCACGTCCGAAGGGTCTTTGACCAATCCGAAGCGGAACTTGAGGGCCAACAGCTCCGCCCGCAGCCTGGCGTTCTCTTCAAGCAACGCCATCACGCGGCTCTCCAGCACCATGTCGTTGACGCGCCTCTTCTCCCGTGAGCGCTTGGCTGCCTCATTGTTCTTCTTGCGCTTGTCCCAGTAGCCTTCATCCTTCTTTTCATCGGGGATGAACTCACGCTTACGGCGGTTGCCGCCATTACTGCTGCCACTGGGGCTTTCCTTACGCTTCAGTGCCGACGAGCGACCCAGCAGCGATCGGGCTAGCAGGCTGTTGGATGTGAGGATGGACACCGCCTCATCCGTGAAGGACAAAGCTCCATCTGAAGATCCCGCCTCCAGACCCGCCGTGCTCGAGGGCACGGGAGACACCAGTACAGCAGCACTTGGCTCCATCGTGTCTTGTGACTCCTCCTTCAACACAAACTCATTGGGCCCTATGTGCCCAATTTGTGAATAATATGAATTGTAAGTCAACGGAGACGGTGTTAATTTCGGGAGCTGAGTGAATTAATTGGGCTCGGGGCGAACGATTTATTTATTTTTTACAGCCGAGTCGGCTATTCCGTGCAGAGAGGGCTCCACCTAGTGAATAACGAAGAGAAAAACAGTGTAAGACGGATTTATGTCCCTCAATGTTACGTAAGATCCGTTACAACACAATGTTATGTAACACTGTAGCATCTTTCTAGTAAAGCTACATATAACCACACAGTAAGCAGAGACGTTAACCATATTTATAAAACACAGTTTACTCATTTTAATCACATTTATTGAACAATACAGTGGTTCTTTCGCAGATTTTATGGAGTTGTCACTCATGGGATGTTTTATGACTTGTTTTTAAGAATTACGCTTGAGATATTGACCTCTATTATGAAAGCCCATAGGCATGTAACTATACGGACTTGCAGTCAGATAAGGACGAAAATAAATGCGTTGCTTAAGAACAGATGACAGTTAGTGACCAAGTAGCTCACACGTATCCCAGATGTTCTATCTTAATAATATCATTTTTATCAGTTATTAAACTTCTTGTGCGCGCTTCGATCAACGAAACCGCAGGCGTGTGACTTATTTCTTAATAAAAACCAAATTAGAACTTTACCATACTCGATAGTGATCTCCTAATATTACGCAACATCACGAGAGCACTTTCTGCTCCTAAATACAGCAACACGAACTGCATTAACAGGCATCCTAACCCTAATTGGCCAGAAAACGATCGAGATTTTAAAACGGAGCAGTAAAAACTAAAAGATACAGGCGAGCATCTATGCTTACACTTCCGTCCCTTTACAGTAGCGTTCGTCTCCCCCTTTAATTTGCAAATACGTCGGTATTATAATACTACAATATCTAAACAAAACGCAAAGAACTGCAGGCTGCATTTTCACTTTCGCACGGCAGCCGGCTGTCACTTGTACAAAGGATTCCACCCGCTTCAAAAATAATTCAGCAATTCATGTTCATGTGAGTAAAAGGATAAAGAAGCATGTGATGTCTGCATTAGGACTTTCCTTACCTGTCCGGCAACAGCAGCTCCTCTTCCGCGCTGCTCTAACAGCCCCGGCGCGCAGCATAAACCCCGCACGGCGTCAGTCGCTCTCCTTCCCCGTCCCGCTCCTCTCTGCTCCGCCGTGGACGCCGCAGCCTTTATTTGTTTCTTCTGCCGGCGAGTTCAGCCCAGGACTTCACCTCACCTCACTTGAACCCCAGGGCCCCAGCTAGGAGCAGCGGTTAAGACCGCCTCTCTCCAGGCTGAAATCCCACCCCGCCGCGGCCAGCCCTCCTATCCTCTGTCCGGTAATGGCTTCGCCTATCTCCTCCACCACCAGTTTTCATCCACCGTTAAATCAGGATACTTCTGCAACCATCATATATCATCGTTAGTAATGTATATTTTCTCCCTTTTATCTTTCGCTTCCCGTCATCATGCTTCCGATTTATAGTTAGTTTATAATATTTAGTCACATGACGAGGGAAGACGTATATTGGTAAGTCCTCAATGGCCGATTTTAATTGGCTGAATTAGCCTGCGTAGTTTTTTGCGTGTCCTTAATGGCTGTGCACGGACGCCTGAGGCCCTAGTGTACCAAAGGCAGCTAATGCAAACGGGTCGTGACCCCATTCCCTTTAATAAATGTTCTTATTTCTCCTCCCCTATTGCAGAGGCTCCTAGTTACGCAACTCCCGCCCCGCCTTCCGTCATTTATACTGATGCACCAACATGTCTGTCAGCCCTGGGAAGAACACATAACTCTGGACCTGTTTCATGTTTCTCTTTCTCACTACAGTTATTTTCATATTCCAATTAATAAGCCATATTAAATGCCAGAGACTGCAAGTACTATGTTACAAGCCCACACAGCAGAATTGGTGTGTTAATCATGAGCTGAGAGTGTTTATTAAATTCCCTGCAGGATTACAGCACGCACATGCTGCTTAAATTGAGTCTTCCATGCAAACCAGGGACCTTTTTGCGAACCTGTCCACGGCAAGCACAATAAAAGTCACATAATCTACCTGAAATGTGGAATAGAAGTTTTGAAAAATTCGCCACGGTTGATAGAGCAGCGTGTTGTGGCCGGTTTATGGCCATAATCTGGGCTCTGCACCCCGCCCTGCTACGTGACTCCCAAACCGGCTACGGAACGTGGAGTCCGAGCTGCCCACGGAAACTTTATACACATCTTAGTGTCTTCCGGATTATACTGAAGGCTTCGGGAAAGGTGGGTTTATTGTGTGAAGATACATTTAACATTTCATGAAGAAGAAAATAACACAAGCAAAAAGAATTGATCTTTAATCCTTGACACCCTTAACCAGAATCTGTCCTCTTCCTGTTCCTCTCCAGTGCTCCTCCTACCCAGGACAGCTAAAGCAGCTGCTCTACTCCTTTCTACCCTCCAGATAGGAGCTTCATTAAAGGTCCGCAAGACAGGACTGTTTTTTGCTTTGTACAGCCTGAGAACACAGTTGTGATCCCACAATGGTTAGGTTTAACCACGGAGACGACAGAGTCTGCATGTGTTTATGATTAGTTAGCAAGTAAATGAACGGTAAGGTTTACTGACCAGCACTTCTGGTGAAATGTCCTTCTGCCAGTTTGCTTCCCCTTACAGCCGTTCAGCCTGCAATCTGTGGGCTGTAAAGAGACACTGTTCTGATCCTCAGGTCCGGGCCGAATGCCTCCATACAGCTGCATTGACTCAAACCCCCAGTCCGGCTCAAATTTAGAAGGAACTCAGCCTTTAATCCTATAAAACCATCACACATCGATATACCCATTGTGTCGCTATTATTGCATATTACTGTAATACTTTTCCATATTATGATCTTTTGATGATCTGCAGTTACTTAGGATCTCTAGAACAGTTCTTGGCTTGCAAAATACGTACAAATATTTAAAAAAAACACACATATTGAATATGTTTTTACTTCTAAAGTATGACATACAGTCCAAGTTAAATTGATCTAAATCTTATCAAATCTGAGCTGAATCAAAACATATAGAATCATTAGATATTTAGTTTGTTATCGAGTCTTGTTGTAGACCAGGTATGTAGATGCGTATTTTTCTGAGAGGGAGAGAAACACACAGCTACTAATTCCACCCTTCGTCCCGTGGCGATAGCATCCATGCGGACGGTGTTGGTGAAGGTGGCCATGGGTGGGGCAGGGGGGAGAGATCAGAGGTAGCAGGTGGTGGGACGGCGAATCCCCTGGCGGGTTCAGGTCCCGAGGAGGAGGTGTTGGGCTGCCGTTACACCTTTCCGAGTGCTTGAGTTTCCTCGGGGTGCGATCCATCGCGCTAAACAGCTGACTGCGGCATGTGAGCTGCCCTGCGACTGAGCATGCGAAGAGCGCAATGCCACAGGCCACGGGTGCTGTATCTGTAACCGAAGGGACGGAAACCGAGGCACCAATGACTGCGGAATCTGCTTTGGTTTCACACGTTTTCTTCATTGATGGGAATTCAGTTACACAGCGTTCATTGTGAATACATACTGTAATGACATCAGAATGACATCCAGCATTTCATTATATACTAGATTTGCAACTACCTGTTTACTGTGTGAAGACCAACTTACATCTGTCGTATCCTTTCCAGTGATACTAACGGCCTGTTTATGACCACGATATGCAGTTAACCTGAAACAGCAACACACCGTCCCCGTTAGTCTCAATTTGTTGTACGTACAGTAAATCTCCCAGCCATATTGTCCACACCCCGTGGCTGGCGTTCTGCCCACTCTATTCACTTGCCTCTGAACAAGCTCTACGTCTGATTCGAGTTAAAAACCAATCCCACGAGATGTTAATGCCTGCCCAGATTCTCTTTCAGCTTTTTCTTTCTGTTTTTTTTTTTTCCTCCCGCTTTGAATGAATCATGACTTTACTAGGAATAAAGGCGCCAGCCTGCCCAAATAATGTCCAAGACCCCGTCTTGATCTGAGCCGAGATGCCAGTGGGTTTGGGGTCGCTGGTGCCGGAGCTGAAACCCCCTCGGCAATCAGTCATGGTCGGCACCGAGAGTACGCAGAGCGTTACGGGCAGAAGGAGTGCCAAGTGCCCCTCCTGTTCAGGATAAACACGCACTGCCAGGAGCTGGAATGTATCTGACTCTGACATTTCGTTGGGATTAAAAACGGAATCGCATGACTTCTATTAATGCACAGAAAATAATTGCCAAAATTAATGCTATTTTAGAGATTTAGTGTGATCTTGTCTGACAACACTGTCATCAGTTATATAGCCCAAACTAGATGGTGTTTTCCAATCCAGTCCTTGGGAATCCACAGTGGGTCCACGTTTTTGCTCCCAATGGGGAGCTGTGAGGGAGCAAAAACGTGGACCGACTGTGGGTCCCTGAGGACCGGATTGGGAAACACTGCTCTACCTTCATCCTTCCTCCTCTGATTGTTTAGCATCACAGGGAGGCCTGTAGACTGTTCCAGCAGCATAGGGCTACACCCTACATGGTATAGCAGCTCGTCACCATGCACAAGCGAGGCTTTTTAACCTGATCGCATGTCTTTGGACTGCTAGAGGAAACGATCGTACCCAGAGGAAGCCCATACGATACAGAGAGAACATGCAAACTCCGAACTCAAAGCAGAAGTGGGATTTGAACCCCCACTATACCCCACTGATGGTCTACAGGTATTTTAAGGCCTCTAAGCAGAGAGAAGCAGTACTGCCTTATTATCAAAGGAGAATAGACAGTGTTTGTAGTATATTTTTAAATGTCTGACCTCATCAAAGGTAATCTCAGGTGTCCCCTTTCAGTCTCTGTTTTAAAGAATTTGTCTCTGGGATCAATAAAGTTAATCTAATTCTAAATACTGCCCCCCTCCCCCCCCCAGGTGAGAGGGAGGTCACTGCACCTGTCCTCTGTTTGCCCTAAGGGACGTCACCAGGCCCAGGTGGCCAAACAGCCCGGGGCAAAGAGTCACTGTAGCCAGGGGGTGGAGAGACCCGGCTAGAACATGCCCACATGCACATGGCCACAGGAACACGCAGGCAGTGCAGTGAACACGGAGACACACACACACACACAGGTTTGTAATTATATCTTTGTGGGGACTCTCCATTCATTTATATGGGGAAAACTCTAATCCCAACATGACAACCTTAACCCCTACCCAGCCATATCCTTAACCATAAGTAACCAAACAAAATACAAGACTTTTGGCATTTTTTAATTTTTGGATTGCATTGACATATCTTTGTGGGGACCTGAAAAATAACATCAGAATAACAGGTTTCAATTATATTGTGGGGGCCATTTGGTCCTCACAGTGTAATACAAACATAATCCACATACACACACTATCCATACCCTACAAACTGCTCCAGTGGGACCGAATCACTGCCCATCTATGTGTGTGAGTGCCTGTTTCACTGTGGAGTAAGACGAGGTATGTGAAAGCCCCAGAATTCCTGTGCATCTCTGCTTGTGCTTGTGAAGTATCATGACGGTTATTGTCATCATTATCTTACAGAGGCACTCAAACAGACAGTCTGTAGGCAGGCCTGCCGTGCATGATTCCCAAGCCCAGACAGTCTGTAGGCAGGCCTGCCGTGCATGATTCCCAAGTCCAGACAGTCTGTAGGCAGGCCTGCCGTGCATGATTCCCAAGCCCGGACAGTCTGTAGGCAGCCTGCCGTTCATGATTCCGGCCTGCCGTGTCCGCATTCCCCCTCCCCATCATGCAGTGGCTCGGTGCTCAAGAGCCTTATAGCCATACACCAGCCATACACCAGCCATACACCAGTCATACACCAGTCATACACCAGTACCCCTTATGCAGCCCAGTGAGTCCCAAGGACCATTGGACCCACAAGCCTGCGGGGCTGTCAAGCACAAACACATTCGCATCAGCGGGCGGCCGTATTGCTCAGCTCTCTATGGCGGGGGGGGGGGGGAAGGTGGGGGGTCAGGTCAAAGCAAACAGATGAGGCAGCTGAGGACGCCGCTGTTTCGCCGTCACCTCGCGGGACCCTCCACTTCCTGCCGGCCCCCTGAGGCCCGATCAAAGCTGGCCTGACCCCCGGGGGCCGTGCAGATTTGATAAGATACCAACACTGGACCAGTGCCGTCATCGGCCCCGAGGAGAGGGTCTCGTGGAGGGGGGCGCACATGGGCCCCGGAGACGTGGCATGGGCGATCGGCCGCGAGTAAACAAGCGAGTAAGCGGCGCTCTTTAAATAGCGGCCATCTGCCTTCCCTGGCGTCGTGGGTGACGCCCAAAGAGAGATTATGGCACATTTTACCAAGAATCGGGTTAAATTTAGAAAAAGAGAGAACACTGGGCCATATTGTTATGTAAGAACATCTTTGTAATGTGCAGATGGTGCTGAAATGCCAGGCTGACTGTTTTTCCCAGGGTGGGTTACCTGGTCATCTTATTTTATAACCGCAAGTGGGTCAGCGACGTGATGGCGAGTGCCGGGTGGTTATCCGTCTGGCCGTGTCACATTCCTCAAAGGTGATGTCATAACCCCCGACCCCCACCCAACCTGACCCAAAACTGAGTCTTTTTCCAGAGCCTTGGACATGGCTCAGGGACCCAGCTCTGTGCGTTAATCCCATCTGCTCCATTTAGTG